TGACTCCAGTACTTGAAGCATGACTCAAGAAATTTGTGGTAGAAATCTACCTAGTTGGATGAATCTTATTGTGGCTAGCTGGTCTAGTGGCTAACGCGACGGGCGGAGTTTTGAGACTCTATGACCGCGGGTTCAATCCGGCCGGGGGTATGGTTCACTTGAAAGCAGTTCCATTCTTGTTCAAGGCCTTCACAAAATTTGTCATAAGCCCTAATTTGATGTGGAGTGGTGGCAGCAGAATTTTCTTGGGGTCAACTAGTGGCACAGTTTTCTCGTTGTGATTTCTGGGTAAGAAGTTGGTTCTTGGTGGCCAGTCTTTTTGTTCATAGTGCTGGCTGTCTGTCCTACTATCCCAAAGACACAGAAAACATTTTAATTGGTAATATACCACTTTGTCATTTACTTATGTTATACAAAAAGAGTAAAGTAACATTTCTGTATAACTTGACAACCTGATGTGATAGAGATGAATAAAAAACACAGTGAACCACTATTTTCCATATATATATCAAGAAAGATACCATAGAGTCAATAAAACAGTCATGCAGACCAGTGTTATTTGTCAAAGAATTCCTTGGTATACAGTATTCAAAATGTGTCTGTTCATGAAATCTACTTATTGTTACATTTCCGGTTACTATTCAAACTCAAACTTTGATTTCATCAAAGCATATGTGAATATTCCAGCAAAATGCATAGGTGTATCAATACAATAATTGCTTGTTCCAAGGAAAGCTCCTTGTATGCAAAACATTTCAGGCATACTGGGAAGAATTTCTTACGGGCTACTTAACACCAGTACTAACCAGTAACACACAGATTTTTTGTGTGAATAAAGTACAGTGGAACCTCTACTTGCGAGTTTAATCTGTTCCATGACCTTGCTCGCAACTGGATTTGCTCGTTTGGAGAGTCAATTTTCCTCATTTAAATTAAATGAAATTCAATTTATCCGTTCCACTGGAATTCTGTGCTTCAATAATTTCGCTAATATCTACAGCTTATTTATCTATCTCACTTCATCTAATATGACATAATAAACAATATAAATAACATAGAGACCTGATATATATACTCTAAAATGAATAAAATATGTAATTCATGTAGTGGTATGGGCGGTGTCGAAGGTGGACGAGAGTTTGTCTGGAGACCGGACAAAATACTTCTTGAATAATTTTGCTAATATCATCTATATGGCTTATTTATCTATCACAGTTCATCTAATATGACATAATAAACAATATAAATTACATAGAAACCTGATATATACTCTAGAATGAATAAAATATGTCATTATATATGCGGCAGCAGTCGACGAGAGTTTGTCTGGAGACAGGACAAAATACCTCTTCAATATTTCGCTATCATCAACTTTACGGCTTATTTATCTATCACAGTTCATCTAATATGAAATAAAACAATATAAATAACACAGAAACCTGATATATACTCTACAAAGAATAAAATATGCCATTATGTAACAGGTGGAGGCAGCCACAATCTCTCCCTCTTTGTTGTGGTAAACACTACCATCTAGTGATGGCCTTTTGAAGCGTCTGTTATTATGATTATTTTTTTTTTTTCAACAAGTTGGCCGTCTCCCACCGAGGCAGGGTGACCCAAAAGAAAGAAAATCCCCAAAAAAGAAAATACTTTCATCATCATTCAACACTTTCAC